AAGATTGGGAAAACTTTAAAGGTCAACAGAAAGCCACAAAAAGAGCTATAAAGAAAAGTAAGATAGAACATGAGAAAAAACTAGCACAGAAATATAAAGACAGATAGCAAAAGTTTCTATAAATATATAAAACGAAAAAGAGTGGCTAAAGTAAACGTTGGCCCTTTAGAGGATGAGAAGGGGAATTTAGTTATGGGATATGATGAAATGGCCGAGGCATGGAACAGGTATTTTGTATCGGTCTTCACAGTGGAGGACACTAATAACATGCCAGTAATAGACAAAGAGACGAAGGTAGGTGAGGACCTGGAAACAATCATTATTACGGAAGAGGTAGTACTGGGCAAGCTAATGGAACTAAGGATTGATAAGTCTCCTGGCCCTGATGGAATGCATCCCAGGATACTAAAAGAGATGGCGGGAGAAATAGGAGGTGCGCTGGCGGTAATTTTCCAAAATTCGCTGGACTCTGGGGCAGTCCCAGCAGATTGGAAAACAGCAAATGTGATGCCACTGTTTAAAAAGGGAAGTAGACAAAAGATGGGGAATTATAGATCGGTTAGCTTAACTTCTGTAGTGGGGAAGATGCTTGAGTCTATTATCAAGGAAGAAATAGCAAGGCATCTTGATAGAAATTGTCCCGTTGGGCAGACGCAGCATGGGTTCATGAAGGGCAGGTCATGCTTGACAAATCTTTTGGAATTCAATGAAGACATTACGAGCAAGGTGGACAATGGGAACCCAGTGGATGTGGTGTACCTAGACTTCCAAAAGGCCTTCGACAAGGTGCCGCACAAGAGGCTACTGTGTAAGATAAGGATGCATGGCATTAAGGGTAAAGTATTAGCATGGATAGAGGATTGGTTGACTAACAGGAAGCAAAGAGTGGGGATAAATGAGTGCTATTCTAGCTGGCAGTCAGTGACTAGTGGTGTGCCTCAGGGATCGGTGTTGGGACCGCAATTATTTACAATTTATATAAATGAATTCGAGTTGGGGACCACGTGTAGGGTGTCAAAGTTTGCAGATGACACTAAGATGAGTGGCAGAGCAAAGTGTGCAGAGGACTGTGAAACTTTGCAGAGGAACACGGATACATTGAGTGAGTGGGCAAAGGTCTGGCAGATGGAATACAATGTAAATAAATGTGAAGTCATACATTTTGGTAGGAGTAATAGTAAAAAGAGTTATTACTTGAATGGTAAAAAGTTGCAGCATGCTGCTACGCAGAGGGACCTGGGTGTCCTTGTGCATGAATCACAGAAGGTAGGTCTGCAGGTACAACAAGTAATTAGGAAGGCAAATAGAATTTTGTCCTTCATTGCTAAAGGGATTGAAATAAAAAGCAGAGAGGTTATGTTGCAGCTGTACAAGGTGCTGGTGAGGCCACACCCGGAGTACTGTGTGCAGTTTTGGTCTCCTTGAGAAAGGATGTACTGGCACTGGAGGGGGTGCAAAGGAGGTTCACTAGGTTGATTCCGGAGTTGAGGGGGTTGGCTTATGAGGAGAGACCGAGTAGATTGAGATTATATTCATTGGAATTCAGAAGATTGAGGGGGCATCTTATAGAAACATATAAAATTATGAAGGGAATAGATAAGATAGAAGTAGAGAGGATGTTTCCACTGGTAGGTGAAGCTAGGACAAGAGGGCATAGCCTCAAGATTAGAGGGAGCAGATTTAGGACTGAATTGAGAAGGAATTTCTTCACCCAGAGGGTTGTTAATCTATGGAATTCCTTGCCCAGTGAAGTAGTTGACGCTACTTCAGTAAACGTCTTTAAAGAAAAGGTAGATTTTTTTGAACAATAAAGGAATTAAAGGTTACGGTGAGAACGCGGGTAAGTGGATCTGAGTCCACGAAAAGAGCAGCCACGATCTTATTGAATGGCGGAGCAGGCTTGAAGGGCCAGACGGCCTACTCCTGCTCCTAGTTCTTATGTTCTTATATACACTGAAGGACAGACTCTGGAATATATTGAACGTTTCAAATATCTGGGCAGCCAGCTCTTGCAAAAGGCCACCATATGGAAGAAATCCAACTGCAGTTCTGTATCAACTCAACCTTCCACAAAATGACAATGACTGTCTGACTATAAAAGATCTTCACAAGTCAACAGAAGTCCTAGGCACGGACTACTTATTGTCACCATATGCCTGCACTGCAGTGAGACCTGGACTGAGTATTAGCAACCAATAAGAGCGCTCGAGAAATTTAATCAGAAATTACATTCTCTGGATCCACTCAGCAGGGGGGGAGGGAACCATCAAACAAACATTGGTGTCCTGTCTAAAGCCAACTCCACAAGCATTCAAGCCAATCTCTTGCAAACATCAACAATGATGGACTAGACACTGTGCCCAGATGGCTGAAAAATATCTCTTCCCACCTTGTCCTATTTTCTCAACTCTCAGTTGGCCACCATTCCAGGAGAGGACAAAGAAAATGTTTCAAAGAAAATCTGAAGCTCTCCTTTAAATGCAGCAGCATTGACATTAATGACTGGGTGGAGCTTGCTATCAATCATTCAAAATGGCAACAACTTATCCACCAAACCGCACCACACTTTGAGTCACAATGCCTTAATAATGATGCACAGCCATGGTAAAGAAAACAGAAAAAAACAAATGCACTCTGGATTTTAGTACCTCATGTGACTAAAAGTCTGTGGGTGAAGAATCAGCCAGTGAATTACATGAAGCCCAAGGTAGAAACTTTCAACCCTGAGTCAACATTATCCTGGACAGCTAATGACAATGGAGAGCTGATCAAGTTGACTATTTCGTCTTAGATGGCATCAAGCTTTTTGAGTATTATTATTACTGCACACCCATGTAGGAAGTATTCCATCACACTCCTGGTTTGTGCCTTATAGATGGTAGACTGTCTTTGGGAATCAGGAGATGTGTTGCTCATTTCAGAATTCCCAGCGCCTGAACTGTTCTTGTATCCACTGGTATTTATATGGTTTGTCAGTTTGGTTTCTGGTCAATTGTAACCCCAGGATCTTGATAGATGGAATGCCACTGGTTATCAAGGGGACCTGATTCGATTTGTTCATGCTTGAGATGGTCTTTGCCTGCTACTTGTGTGACACAAATATCACTTGCTACTTATAACCCAAAACCAGAACGTTGTCCATGTCTTACTGTATATGGACTGCTTCAGTATCTGAGGCATGGCACTGAGCGTTTTGCAGTCATTAGCAAACATCGTATAATGGAGGGAAGGCCATTGACGAAGCAGCTGAAGATGGTTCGGCCTAAGACACTACCCTGAAGAACTCCTGCAGCAATGTCCTGGCACTGAGATGATAGGGCTCCAAAACCACAACAATCCTTCTTAGTTGAACATATGACTCCAAACAGCAGTAAGTTTCCATCAATTCCCACTGAGTTCAGTTTTACCACTGATTCTCGATGCAACTATCAAGTGCTGGCTCTCACTTCACCTCATATTAATGATTCAAATAGATATGATTAAACCCTATGTGTTGCCTCAAAAGTAAATAGCTATGCAATCCTGGATTACTCCTCACACAAGATCTTGTTTCAATTGAAGCATCTGAAGAAGCCCAAACTATAACATAGTTTAATGGATTTCGTTGAGGACATTTAATATGCAGCTTTGCATTGTACTGGACTTATTATTCAGTCAGTTTCCAAATCTTTCAGAAACCTTACACTACTTGATTAGATTGTAAAAACCGAAAGAACTGCAGATGCTGTAAATCAGGAACAAAAACAAAGTTGCTGGAAAAGCTCAGCAGGTCTGGCAGCATCTGTGAAGGAAAAAACAGAGTTAACGTTTCGGGTTGCTGGAGGAAGGGTCACTGGACCCGAACATTAACTCTGTTTTTCCCTTGACTGGATTGTACTTAGGTGTCAGGTCAGGATCTCACACCCAAGTTGAAGTAGAGATAACACAGTGTGGAGCTGGAGGAGCACAGCAGGCCAGACAGCATCAGAGGAGCAGGAAAGTTGACATTTCGGGTCAGGACCCTTCTTCACAAATCAGTTGAAGTGTCTGTCCTTTGACATTCATCCACTACCATACACTTTAATAGTGTATTTATTTTCTATTTCCTCCACCCTGTAATGTCAGTGTAAATTTGAAAACAGATTCCCCTAATTACAAAACTGGGTCATGGCCCAAACTGACTCCCAAACTAGTGCACCTGCCTTCGCCATGGATTCTGATTCTATATTGTTCCTGCATTAGTTTGAGCCATGCTTTTGGATTCAGGTTGCATTTACACTATGTAGGAAGGGTCACCGGACCCGAAATGTTAACTCTGATTTCTCCCCACAGATGCTGCCAGACCTGCTGAGCTTTTCCAGCAATTTCTGTTTTTGTTTCTGATTTACAGCATCCGCAGTTCTTTTGGTTTTAATTTGCATTTACAATACAATTGATGGCACTGTGGAGCAAACCTTACACACAAATACCACAGTTATAGCATGAATGCTCCCTTAGTGAGAGACAATAAAAATGATCAAGCTACTTAAACAGAAAACATTTTTTTTTTGAACATCTTACCAGGAAGGGGTCAATTTTTCATGGTTTGGTCACCACAATTTTAACAAAAAAAAATTGCAGGTATGAATTTAGTTAAAATCTGGTTCAGAGCTAAAATTAAAATAACTAAGGAATTCCACTCATTTGGAAACATTTATTTAGAAGAGTGAGGGGTGTATAATTCAAATACTCCAATGCACATTGAAGTTATTATTGGTGGGCTAACAACAAAATGTTGAGTAAACATAACTGACTTGGGAGTCAGAGCCATGGCATCTGTGTAAATCATCACAGAATTCAATTAGGCAGCATTTTGAAAGAGAATCGTGGTGTTGTCTTTGAATGAGATATCTATTAAACACGCGATAGCCATCCCTCGAAGAGAAAGACCATTCCTTTCAGCACTGGGAGCTGTACCGCAGGAGCTCAGTAACATTGTGGAGCACAGGGACAGAGGTACTGGTTACAAAGCCCCGCATTACCTGCTGAAAGTCAGTGCCACCGAACTTCGTGCTAACAGCCCCGGAGATTTCCACACCCGAGCAGGCCACATCGCCGCCATCTTCTTGTTTTCTCTCTCTCTCTCTCTCTCTGGTTGGAAAGGTCGGCGTTTGTGTGTGTTTTTCTTCCAAGGTCTGCCAAAGTCCTCTCGGCGAATGTCGTTCAGCAGGGAACGTGAGCGCCCACATCAGTGCACATAGGCAGGAAATGGAAAATGCACTGGCCGTGTTCCTATCTAATTGTGTTTAATGCCTATCTTTTCGGTGTTTGACAAATAGTCGCCAAACAGTGCAGGGGTGTGTGACTGCAATGAAGCTGTGAAAATAACATTTTCACCAGAAATTTATTTTTTTTTAAAAATCCCATGATTATGTGAGTAAAAATATATTTGAAATGTTTATTTATGTACACGTTTTGAGGATAAAAATAAATATCTCATTCTTCTTTCGGTTGCTTTTTTTTTACACTGAAAACGGTCAAACTAACTTTGTTAAAGCATTTCGCCCAGCTCGTCAGGACAGTTTGCAAGAATATCAATTCAGGGGCAAAGCTTCCACCAGTTAAAATCCACTTACCAACTAACCACCATTGACCCCGTGTGTAGTACAGTTATAAGGCTTTCCCCATGAATTGGTATTCCTCCAAATTATCAAGATGAAAATCTCCACAAAATGCATCTTTTTACAGCATTGTTCAAATTTTGTATTTCCAAAGGACTATCAGTGAAGATAATATGGCTTACCATCACTTTCGTGCGATTGGTACACTGTATTTAGATAACGAGCAAACAATTCTGATTTAGGACATTTTGTTGTCATCAGGTTTTATCAGTGTAAAGAAGAGGTTGACAATGCATGTTAGATGTGAGGCCTTGTTTAGAATCTGTTTGTGTTTTGGTTTGAAGTCAGACTGGTTATATTTCTAAAGTAGGAATTTATAACGTGCCACATTGACTGACTGTCTATAAATTGTGTGCTTTCTGAGCAAAATAGAATGTATCTGCAAATACAAATTCACCTCACAGATTTACATGTGTGAGAGTGAGGGAGAGAGAGAGAGAGTTGAGGGGGGAGGAGAGGCAGAGAGTGTGTGTGTGTGTAGGGAGCGAGAGTATGTGTGTGAGGGGGAAGAGAGAGAGTGAGTGAGTGAGTGTGTGTGTGTGTGTGAGAGAGAGTGTGTGTGTGCATTTATAGTTTCCTACTTTAGAAATAAAACCAGTCTGACTCCAAACCACTGATTAAAGATTTAACAGCATCTTAGGTTTGTTTAATACATCCTCATCAGTTGTGTGACCCTTTGATCTTTTTCTTACAAAATTCTATGTCTGATGCTACCTCTCGCTGTAACACCTGAAGAAGGAGCGAGGCTCTGAAAGCTTGTGTTTTCAAATAAACTTGTTGGACTATAACCTGACGTTGTGTGATTTCTGACCATTTTTATGGGAAGGTGGCAATGAACAAACTAGAGTCAGAGCCACCACCTTGGCAAACATGCCAGAAATGGGCATAGAGACAGGTAGATGCCAAAGGTCAGAGGTGAGAAGACCCAAAATTTATTCACTAGAACAGAGGTTAAATCTATAATTGAGTGTATGGAACCCCTGTTCCTCACTCATGTTCCCTCAAAGCCCCATCAAAACTCCCAAGTGCCCTCCGTGACCTCATACTCTCCCATATCGCTCAAGTCCATCATATGACTCGTGTTAATTCCAATCCACACTCACCCAGTATTCACTATGGATAGAACTCGTGAGCAATCAAATAATGACAGGTCAACTTTGTTTATTCAGTTGTATCATGAGCTTTTAATCAATCATCAATTCAAACTTCACTTGAAAAGAATTACTCACCCTAAAAATTCAATACACCATGTATTAATTACACAGCCATTCAAACTTCCTGGAAAGCCCTTTTTAAGTGCTCCAAAATCTGTGAAATAAACAAACAGCCACGAAAAAAACCTCTTCAAAACACTTTAATGTTTTTAACTCACATAAAACCATGAACCAAAGCTCACAGTCCTCTTCACAGCTGTGGAAACAACACTGAGCTTAGTACATTAGTGGGGGAGTTGGAGCTCAGTCAAGCATTCATATTGAGATTGCATTGTACAACTAAACTAACAAACTTTCCAGAGGTCAATAACCATTGAAGTTGAATATTTCTTTTAGTTTCATTGTTCGTTTCCACCCCAAAGTTCAACACATGCCTGCCCTTTGAAGCACTGTAAAAAAATCAAAGGATAGGGTGCATATGTCATATTGATACCTGATTCTCAGCACTTCAATGTAGAAGAGCACTTTATTCATTGGAGAAGGTTCTCATATATCTGAATAGTTATATAATGCTGGCCAAATTAATGGTCACTTACCTCTAAGAGTCCAAAGATCAATTACTGCGTTAAAATCTGCTAATTTACCAGACAACCTCTAATTATGACATTTGGAGTTGTCAAGACATTTTAGAACTAAATGTCAATAGGTTTTAGACTATGGTTGTCACAAGGTTCACCATTCTTTTGAGGTGCCATGAAATATGTCTGCAAAAAAATGGATCCAATTCCATGAAAATAACCAGATTTGCTAAAAGTGCTTTCATCTTCATTCTGCTGTCTTTAATCATTCAATTATATTGACACCTACATCTTACATTTACAAGATCTGGCAAACATTGAATCTTCCATTCTTTATGCTACCACAGAATTTCTCATTTGTTTCATACAGGCTGAAGGAATTTACACTCTCCATAACTTTTTATTTTAAAAGCAGCAGATAGTTGATCCAACAGCTTCTCCTTGGAAAACTAAACACCAGCTAGAATCAATTGCCTAACCATGAGATACATTAGAACAATCCATTGATTCAAATACTCGCATCAATTCAGGGATCCCAGATTGCATTTTGAAATCTGTTAAGGGGTGTGGTATATTCTTCCAGTGAATAATCATTTGTTTTCAGGGATCTATCGGGTCATGACAATAACTCATGGGCAGTTAACAGATTGTCTTTCATGAGGCTTTCATCCAGAAACTCCAATAGAAGGACTAAAGTATGATCACATAATAATTGTTGGTCATCTATCACACAAAGTACTTGATGTCTGATTTTACTTCTTGCTAAAAGCTGCAACACAAATGCCATACCTTGTTTTCTGTTTGATGTAGTCTAACCCGCGCCCACATTTCCACAGGTTTATTCAGTTAATTGCTGACTACTCGCTGGGAACATCAGATGGTAACAATTTATACCTGCTTTCTGTTGCAATGGCCATGAAGACTTTGGTTATTAGGATTTTAATTTTCTGTTTGAAATATTTCTTTTAGTTTCAACCTTCAATTTTGGATAACCGTCACCTGATGTTTTCTGTTCCAGAAACACCAACATTGAAGAATAGAAATGGAGCTAATCTTTACACATTTCAGTAATCTTTTATTTACAGAGATGTACATTACAAACATGCACCCTGTAACAAAACATCCCCAATTCCAGCACCTCATATTCTGTCTTGGAACCCTACCACCCAATGGTCTCAATGTGGACCTTACTAGCTTTAAAATCTCCCCACCCCCGACGTCATCCCAAGACCAGCCCCCCTTCTCATCCCCGCCTCCTTGACCTGTCCGTCTTCTCTCCCACCTATCCGCTCCTCCCACCTCACT